GCCTGTATCTAAAATGAGCTTCATTGCAACAAACATGCTGACCAGTTAACATGTCATGACATCGGAGAGGGACTTCAGCGTTTCTTTTACCCATTGGTAGAAATTGAAAACTTTGCTGAAGAGACAAAACTGAAAAGAAAAGAGAGAAACTTGACAAATTTAAACACTTAAGTCTGGTTTTTATTTCTACATTGAATCTACATTATAGTGGCCTCAGCTGTTGTGAGCTCCATACTTGTGTGTTGGTGTGTCTGCATAGCTCTGCAATACTCCGTCTACAAACCCTAGTGGGCAGTGTGAATTCTATCTTAGTTATATCGCCAGTTTTTGGTTTTACAGTACCACATTCTCTGCTTGTTTGTGTACAGGAAACCATGGCCATTGCAACTGTGTGTATTATGTTAGAGTTGGAGCTGATAGATATTAAACAGCAGTTGATTACACTGACTTGTAGCATTCCTCCTTCTGCAGAATTTTTTAAATGGCGACAATGTTGTAAATGCAGGAAATACAGTGCTACCCAGCGGTCAAATCACAGGGCTTTTGGTCTGCGCAATTTTGACACGTAGTATAATTTTTGAGGAGGTGCACATCAGGCTACATGCTTAAGATTCTTCTGAAGGGGAAGCATTGCCGTAAATTTTATGAAAAAGAATATACCCGGCTTTAGTTTAGTCAAGCAGTACCTCTGAACACCACAGAATGGCGCTGCAGGTGGTACTCTGCCTTTCTGAACTTACCATTTTAAAGGCCACTTCAAATGTGAGCATCCCATGCAAAATTTGTGGCCCAACATATCCAATGATTCAAAATCTAAAAGGTAAGGGACAGAGACAGCTGGAGACGCAAACAGGAAATCCTCTGTAGACCAGACCGTCTCATTTCAGATCAACCTGAGAGGTCAACACAGACTAAAAAGGGTATTAACCTGCTTGTTCGGACAACACCTACCTGTGTTTGGGTTTCAGGGCGTACATGGTGTGGTCATACATGGCGTTGAGTTTCTTCTCGCCAAACCAGTTGAAGAATTTCATGGGAAACAGCTGGAACAGGATGTGGACGAAGCGTGTATTGTACTTGATGTCCACAGGAATGCCATCATCAGAAACCTGACGGATGACCCAGGCACCTGTGCGAGTGCTCAGGTACACCTGCAAGTCCAACATCAGTGATCCTCAGAGTATTTAAACAAAGGAAGAAAAAAAGGAGTCAGAAAAAACTTGCAACCTGTTCGGCCACCCTGCTGCTCTCCACAGCGATGTCTCCTCCTGAGTTTCCGATCCCAATGACCAGCACTCTCTTCCCGTACATATCCTCAGGGCCCTTATAGTCCCAGCTGTGGAGGTATTTTCCTTCAAACGACTCGATTCCTAAAACACACCACAATGGCTTCTTAAAATATGGTACTCTGCTGCCAAGATATGAATTGACACCAAACCTAAACCATATTTTTTTCTGATATTTGAAACTTTACATCAAATAGCTCCACTATTGGCCAAAAGTGAAGATTACTTATACCAAAAAGTAAGAACCAGGTGTTCCTGTTTGTAAATGTGTGTGTTAGACACGTGTTTACCTGGGAAGTCTTTGAGTGGCAAGTTGGGGTAGGTGTAGTGACCGGAGCAGCAGATGACTGCATCGAAGACGTGACTCTGCTGCTGCCCGTCTCTGTCCTCGGTTACCACCTCCCACTGACCCGTCCGGCTGAAGTCTGATCTCTGGCGGACACTCTTTACCAACTTCTAAAATATGACAAACATACAACAGATTAGTTTGGAACTACAGAAGTTTCACGTTTTTGTTTGTGGTCATGTTGTTACCTGAAAGTGAATGTGCTGCAGCAGTTTGAAGTGCTCTGCGTACTTCCTGAAGTACTTTAGGATCTTGGAGTGGTGCATGTAGTTTGGGTAGTCAGCAGGGATGGGGAAGTCGCTGTAGCACATCATCTCCTTTGAGATGTTGATGGTGAGCGAGCGGTAGATACTGGCCCGGTTCGGCTCTGATACCTCCTGCAGAGGACACATATCAGATCACAGTCATGAGAAATAGAGACTTGCATTGATGGCAAGTGAGTGCCATCACTGTAACCATATGGTTTTTGAAAAAGTTAGATTCTTAGGTACCTTTTGATATCACAGAGAGAGAGAGAGACAGAGAGAGCGAGAGAGAGAGAGAGAGAGCGAGAGAGAGAGAGAGAGATTGATTCAATAGGTCGGCAAATACTGACCTATCAAGTTCTTTTGGCATCTCGAAAGGATGCAAAAGTTAACTTTCTCTTACAGACATAGCCATTTTCACATATGCACATATTAGAGAATATACAGAGAACAGAGGAAAATATATATTCAAGAATCAATGTTGGTAATAATATGTAGCAGGGGGTACATTTGTAAATTGAAATGTCAGTAAAACCAAAGACATGGGTATTGATTTTGTAAGGAAGTCAAAACTATCAATCCAAACTGAAAATTAAGCAACATACTGTTGATCAAATTCAGGGTTCCAAGTACCTGGGTATCGTTATCGATAACAAGTTAACATTCAATGATAGCACAGAAGCAGTCGGTTAAAAGCACAGCAATGCTTTTGTTGCGGTGTGTTGTTCCCTGTGCTGTTTGTCCCTTCTCCTCTTCTGTTGTCTCCAGCTCAGGTGAAGCTACTGATTGCACAACTAGCCACAACTAGCCTCAGAGCTTAAAAGACCAGTGAGAAGATGCTTTTGGAGTTGAGACTGCTGTGCCCCTAAGTCAGGGATTGTGTTGTTGTGTTGAGTTAAATTAGTATTTGAGTTGATCTTTGTTGATTAGTAAATCCCTACTTCATTTTGACTTTGGTGAGGTGTATGATGTGTTTTATTGGGTGAATTTGTGGTTTGTTGTTAGTCCCATAGGGCCACCTTTAGCTCAACTTGTGGTGTGTGCAGTAAACTGATGGTGGAGTCTGTCTTTACCTTTAGCTCTATCACACAGAGTCCTCCACATCCTGCCTGACTGCAAAACAAATTTCCCCTCAGGCCGATAAAGTTCTAGGCTCTTATATTATATGACTATTGGACAACAACTTGGTCAGAGAAAAAGAAAAGGGTACTGTCCAAAGACATTGATCTGCCAAAAATGTCCAGAGTTTCCAATAAAAGATATCTGAAGAAGTTCTGTGCAGAAAAAACAGTAATTAAGTTGTCAGATGTGTGATGGATTCATGTTGGTTTTATAACAAACTAAGATTATGGCGATATAATCTACAGACATGCTGCTGCTTCCACCATCAAATCTCCAGACTCAGTGTATCTGCTCTTAGACTCATAACAGAAGATCCCTTTAAAGCTCAACAATGTATTCTGTGAAACAGAACTTGTTGATCTTCTCTGGCACAGAGGCATGATAAACACCTGTTTCTTATTATATAAAAGATTGCACAAAAAGTAAGGACATTTGTGTTTGCTAGATTATTTCTTTGTTGTAACAATGCTTTTTGGCAATAAATTGAATGCCATCGGAAATCCTGTTTATTTCCCTTTTATTTAATATCAATAAGAGGCCTTCCAACGGTATTAGATGTATTGCCAAGAAGCATTGTTACGACAAAGAAATAATTGTAAAGGGAAACCTCAATGATTTTTGAGATTAAATAAAGTTTGTTGAAAATGATGATGATAACTGTTAAATAGGGTTCAATATATCAGAATTTGGAATTTATATCAGAGTTTGGTCAGAAGCGGGGATAACTCAGGCATTGGATAATTAATGTGAGTGATATGTATGACATAACCACGTCTCAAACGGATAAGTAGAGTTGGTTGGAGGAAAGTGTGAATAAGTCCCACCCAGAAGGAGGAAAGCATGATAGTGTTGAAGTGTTCTTATCATGTATTCTTCTGTGTTTTGTTAGGTTTACGTTTTATCATTAAATTCTTTACAATCGGACTGAAGTGAAGCCGCTGCCTTATGGACAAAAGAGACAATGCAGATTTAGAGAAGTGTCACCTTTCAGATTTGGGGGCTGTGTTAACTTCTTTTATAAATTTGTCTTTGTGTTGACTTGCCTTGAACTTCCAAAGTCCGCCCATATCGTCGCTGCTCTCAAAACAGGTCGGCTCCATACCTTCATCAAGACACGCCTTCATGGCGGTGAGACCTGATGGCCCCGCCCCGATCACTGCCACCCTGTGCACCATGATGGAACTGCAGGACAAAAAAAAAAAAAAAGTTTCAAGACCCCATATTCTCATGTTCACCTTTCATGTTGTCAGTCTGTGAAACCTACAGAGAAGACTACAGACTTATCCTGGGATTACTCCCACATACATTAACCTCATGATCTGAGACTTTTCCCACATTTAGTTTGGACATCCAGCATTGTAACCCTAGTTTAAAATGGGGATCAGCATTAAAAGTCAACTTTAACTTCACTTTCAGTCAATTAACTGAGTTGAAAGAATTGAAATCTCGCTAAATAACAGGTTTCAAATTTTTTTTCGTTTTTCTCAAATTAACTTCTGTCATTTTAGTTAGTTCCTGTCATGCTCTGTACTGAAACTTTGAATGTTTTTGTACACATTTACCAAATAGGAATTAACCTGTAACGCATATTTGGAAGCCCCTCTGCTGTCGCTACACATGAATAAGCCACACTTGTAAATATTAATACAATCGATCTTAGCCAAAATATTCTAAAAACAGCAGAAATCTGCAGTTTAATTTTCAAGAACTACATGTGTGTGTGCTCTTTGTCTTACCTTGATCCTCGCGTTGATCACTGTGTAAAATGGGACGAGCGTTGGCTGAGCTCACACTTTTATACGGAGGAGGTTGCTATTTTTTTTACTCTCTAATCCAAACCAACAAAGGCAAATATCAAGTTACATTTTGTCCACAAAAATCAGTCGGTTTGACCTCGACAAAAGTTCAATTTGTTTGTTCAGAGTTAATGAGGAAGATGAAGAGTCACTGATTATCTGTTTTTCTGTCTGTGCGTATACAAATAAATAAAAACAGGGGACGTTTTCACATTTGTTCCCCATTTATTTAAAAATCTTTACAGTGTAATCTTTGACGATTACTGATCAGCACATTCAGCATGAACACAGTGTACTCACAGGACTGTACAGGCATAATTTCATATACATGAATTACCACACACAGTATTATTAAGAGTAATAAGCAGGCAGATCTGAGTGCAGAGAAATATTTCAGCTTCATATTAAACATCAGATGAAACATGCTGAAAGAAACAAATAAAAAGATCTGATTAAGAAGCGGGTGGAATGTGCAAAATGTGTTCTGTGATCACTGTGATGAATATATTAATCTTTTCAACATGTTAAACATCACAAAGATCAATCACAGAATGCTTTTGGTCACAGAGTTCAGCGTCCAGCATGTTCCGATTGAAAACAAGAAATACAATGTGTGCAAACTAAAACTGGATTATTGCTGAGAGACGAAAAAAGCAATTTACACAGAGCAAAGACAGCTGAACAGGTTCGTTTTTTTCTGGAAGTGCAAATGTGTTTGTCAATGTTTAGAATGATGATTATGTTAGAAAACTTTGAACAAATTCAGGTGCAAAAACACGAACAACACTTCATTTAAATCTCTTTAGTCCAGTGAGGAGACATGTGTGCTTAACAGTCATTGACATGATTTGATTCTCATGAGACAATAAAAACATATTTAAGTAAGAAAATCTCTTTAAGTCTGCACTGATGAACTGTTCGTTATCCTCTGACTTCATGCTGAGCTGCAAACAAGATAATCTATTGCTTAAAGGTGCTGACAAACTTTGTGACGATTTTGGCGCCCCCATGGATGAAGTCTTATTACCTCACCTGGCTGTCTTTTTACAGACATAAATCATATTCAGAATCTTTGCAGTGGAAAATGAAAAGTGAGTCTGTTTCTGCAGGGAGATGTAGATCACCGTGCCTGACACTGAGCCCTGGTGGTGTTTCACTTATTAATAATAACCATAGACTGTAAATAATAAACTTATATACAGTCTATGATAATTTAATTAATAATACATTTGTGGAATTATGGACCTACTATTGTTCCTCTTCCTGATGGTCTGGTTTGCTTTAGTAGCTCATATAGAATCATCAGCATTAATTCCAATCTATTTTATAACCACTCATAACCCCTCATAGGAGCCTTAAATGAAAACTCCCTGACCCCATAAAGATATTGTCAAATCTTCTGCCAATGAGATTTAATGTTTTTATTTATTGTCGGTTAATCTGACAACTATTTCGTCCATGCTGGTTATTTTATTTGGTCTATAAAATGTCAGATGTTGGTAAAGAAGAATGTGGATGAGTGCTTCCTAAAGCTAGCGTCCTGTTTAGTCTGCATTTCAAAACTATTCAATTTATTCTCAGAGATGAGGAAAGAAATCAGAAAATAATAATGTTTAAGAATCTGGATGCAGAGAAATGTGACTTCTTATTCCTCAGAAATGACTCGGTTCATGATTCATTTATTATGTAAGTAACCGATATATACGTAAAGCTTCATCTCATTATTTATTTCTGCAGCTCTTTTTGTCTGGATCAAAATCAGTGAACAGCTCAGGTGCTGTGTCCCTCAGAGGCTCCCATACTCATCAACATGCTGACGTCAGAACACGTCAGAACATCAACGACATCCTGACTGCTGGAGTGATTTAGAGTTTAAGATTAATGTTAGTGCGTGTGAGGGTTTGGAAACACCGTCGTGCAGAGTGTGACCCTGAACGCATCGTAACACACAGCGTCACTGCAGACAGTCAGAGTGGTGAAGGATTAACCTACGCACGCACGAACCAGCTGAGTTCATTCCAGGATCAAACCTTCAACTCTGAACCTTCACACTTTTTTATTCATATATTTTAATAAAGTCACTTTATTATTTTATGACTGTGAAGTCTCAGTGAATGTTCATGTATTCTTGTCCTGTAGCTCATTTAAAACTATCTCAGCTCACTGATCTCTGATCTCAAACCAGGAAATTACACAACAACTCAAACTTAAGATAAGAAAACTGCTTAAAATGACGTGCGCAGTCAAACATCCTGGTTTAATATTTAAACATGTCTCTAAAGAATAAACTCACCCGACCGCAGGTCAGATCAAGAATGAAAGACATAAAAAATGTCATTATTATGAGTTTTTTCACAGCTAGGAGTGTGAAATTAAAACTATATAAAGTTCAGGATTTCAGACTCTGCTTGGAATGATTCTTTAAAGTAATACCTGATTCATTGTGAGGGAGAGCCAGCAATCAGGTGTGGACAGAGCTGAAGGGGGAACTCACACTCACCTGGCTGTTATCAGCAGACTCAGTGCTGCTCATAATAAAGTTATATTAACATCAGTTTGATGGAACAGGAGCATGGTCTGATTAAAAACTGGGGCAAAGCTAATTTCAGATTCTCTCCTCTAACACCAAAATAAGAGTGAAATGATCAGTGAACCGTTCCTTTAGCGGGACAGAACCGCATCTTTTCTTCTGTTTACTGATTAATTCACTGAACGTGTCAATCATATTATGTGTCCTCATTTTGTATCATGCATCCTACCTAATCATGTAAATAATGTATTTATTGTGTGAGTGTGCAACTGAACAACCCTTCCAGTAATTTATATGCCCATATTTTAGATGGTTGTATTGTTGGTTGATGGTGGGTGGAGCATTCCCAGCATGCCTTGGGGTTTGCCGGTAGACTTGTTTTTAGACTATTCATTAGTTTACTGTTACTATTGTTCAGTTTGTGTTGTTCACATTAAGTCGATTTGTGTGTATTGCTCTTCAGTTTGCCTTCTTGTTGAATGATTGCCATTCTGATAGTAAATGTTTAATTATTGCACTGTGCTTGAAATGGTCTGTGTGAATGATCAAATCCACTCTTAGTCCTCCTGAAGCAAGCTTTACCTTAATGCTATTCAATAGGCGCAACATGAATGAGAAATTAAGTAAAGGGGTGGCTGTTCTGGCTCTAACCAGAGACGTGGCCCCCAACTGATACTGTTACTACTATACTATAGTATGATTGATTTACAGTATTTATGTACCCATATATTCATCTTTATGAACCATAACCTGGCTCATCCCGGTGATTCTAATAAAGCTCAGTTTTGAGTTTTCTTCCTCTTTGAGGAAACTGTGTGGGGTAAATCTCAGACATTCACTCTCCTACAGCAACAAGTTCACTTATGATCAAACTCTAAACTTACAGCTTCTTTGAGGGGAGGGAGATGGTTTAAAATCAGATGTTTTTAAAACCTACATGTAAAAAACAAAAGTGAGAAACAGCTGAACTAAAATGTGAATAAATCTCCCTCCTCTGGTCAGAAGACGGTTCTTCTCCAACTATTTTCAATATATTTATATTCTCTCTGCCTCAGTCTAAACACGGATGTTTGACGGGCCTCATGTCTTCTCCTTATGCTTCTGACCTCAAACTTCCATTCCCAGCATGCCTTGCAGCGCCTGAAGAGACAGCCACATCATCTCCACCAGGTTGTACTGACAGTATCCCATCCAGAAGCCGAACATCACGTCCGTCACGTTGTGCCGACCCAGCAGCACCCGGCTCAGACCCACCAGGCCGGCCCACAGAAAGACCAGGACCCTAAGGGGGGCTGCCAGCACCAGGTGAGCCAACAGGAAGCGCCCACACATGGCGGCACGCGTGGCGTGGCCAGACGGGAAGGAGTACCTGTCCACGGAGAAGGTGGCGAACATGTCCATGCGGTTATGAGCCGGCCGACGGCGACGCACCACGGCTTTAACCACGCCCACCAGGACAAGGTCCAGGAGGAGACCTAAGAGAGACGGGGGAGAGAGAGGGGAGAGGGAGAGGGGAGATGTGAGAAACAGAGCATTCATCACAGAGATGACACAGATCATGGTATTCTTTAGAACCAGGATTGAAGTTAAGAGGTTTTGGGAATCGTTGAGTCTGCCACCTGATGCACAGATCTGATACCAAAATGAATTACCTGGTAAATCATCCAACACCTCCAGTGTGATGCTACAGGGGAGTCTGATGTCAACTGCAGCTAAGAAAAGGTAAAGAACCCCTGTTTTTTCTTCGTTTACAGATTGCACAGGGATGGTAGTGATATTTTGTGATAATTCTCAAACCTCCACACTTACTCCGTTATAACACCCACAGCTGACTGAAGCTCCTTGAAAAAGGTGGAGGTCATATATACAGCAGCAAACTTTGAGACAACCTCCCCTCACTCCCACAGAAACTTTATATAACCATGCTTTTATGTCACTCAAAATATGAGTTTGTCAGGTAAAAAACATTAGACGTTAAAATCTCTACACAGTGTGAGAAAAAATAACTACATATTTGGTGGCCTTTCTTCTTTTAACATGTTAATGTTTTAGTCTGAACACTTCACATTCAAATAAATACACTTATCCTTTAAGACAAAAAATAATTAATTACATCCTGATCATTTGAGTTTGGTGTTTGATCACGCCCCTCTGTGGAAGGGGATGTGGCTTGGGCTTTCTTGCACCATACGCAATTGTTTACAGTAAGAAGGCAGACTCAGAGAGCAGAACAAACACCTAGCTGTGGGAGTGTCACCCACCTCAGGGAGGGGTTACTGCTCTGATGTCATAAAGGGAAAATCTCCCAAACAGCGTGTCTGGGAGACATTTTCTGAATAGTGGAGCATGGAAAAGATGGAGAGGATGGACTTTTCTTATAGTTGGGGGGTTTGTTGACAGGCTAGGGACACATATTAGTGTTAGCAAAACATGGTAAAGAGTATTTTGCATAATATGTGACCTTGTGATAATGTGGAACTTTGATCTCCTGATGTTACAACTTTTCAGAAAGCCAGAATTATTGCAGACTCTCTGTTTTCGGGGTTTAACAACCCGCGCTCAATCCACACTCAGAGCTTTGGCTGTCTCTCTTTATGATGTTGAATGTTATGATGTGTTTAACATGAAGGTTACCCGGGTAAGAGACCTTATTTCTACAAATGATCATTATTACAGACAGTCTCTGCCGGATCCTGATAGATTTGGACTCATTGAGAATTAAGGAATGTTTTTTTCTCTCACATATCCAGAACAAACATTGACTTCCTCTTTTTTATTCCTTCTAAAAAAGGTGTGCCACCTGGTTTACCTGAACAACCTGAACAACCATTGTTAATTGTTACAAACAGCTCGGGCAGGTTAAACCAGCCTGTCTTTCTGCAGAGAGAGAGAGAAGCAGAGACTGTGTTTACCACCAGACACTCAGGGAGGTTTACTCATTCATATTAATGAATGATGATCCCTAACAGATGTTTGCTGGGAAAACAAGTCTTCATACAACATTTTTAATATTCTGTGTAGCCCTGAAGAAATCATCTATCATCCTCTGATTAATCCCCCCACCCTAAAAACAGCTTCTGCTACATCTCGCTTATTAATAATTGGAGAAGCATAGGGGGTTTCTCCATCTATGTTCCTGTTTCTGTTACTACGTTTCTTCTATACAGTTTCTGAACTCTGGAGAGCGATACTTTTGGATATATTCAGCACAGTTTCCAGGAGCCTAAGGGCCTTTCTTCAAATACATTTTTCAGTCTAACAGCATCACAAGCAGTTTTACTCAACATAAAACAGAGAGGTGCAGAGAGTCCTCCAACCAGCCACTGCTCAGAGACTGTTTCATAAGAGTCTTAGAATAAGAACAGACTGATGCACACATCTCCTGTGCAGAGTTTTGGGAGTAGAGGTCTTTTACCAGGGTTGTCATGATACCAAAATTTGGATGACATGCAGGAAAGAAGCCACAGGTCAGCTTTTAACCCAGGACACCTGCTTGGAGGACTACAGCCTCTGTACATAGAACGCAACCTCACTGCTAGGCCATCTGGTCTTCACAATATCAGATTTAAAACTTGGTTCAGATTTAACCGAATCTACCAACCTAAAAAGACTGAGTATTTTTGTAATATAAAAAAAATAAAAATAACATAACAAGCTCCACGACCAGAAACATAGTAAAAGGATGGAAATTGGAGATACTTTTGAAAAATGGAGAGAAGTTAGAACACAGAAAGGTTTCAATACCGATGCAGAGCTGGCTAAACACTGAAGCGTCAGTGTGGCAACCCACGTGCACATTGACTCTAGAGAGGAGGGGTCAGGGGGAGACACCTGTTTTGAATTTGGACGGCGGAACCAATCTTAAACGCTCTGTGACAGAGTTACATATTGCTTCTTCTAACAGCCCTTCAAACTGTAACTTAACATAAGACAAGTCAACGCCTCTACTGAAGCCTCCACCTCCAGTTAAGAGTCCAGACTAAGAAGTAATGATAAACATTACAGTCTGTTACTTTAATGATAAATGTTACTTAAGTATTGTGTAATTTCTTGCTTGTTATTACCAATAATTGGTTATTGGCATGCATGCATTGCTAAATATACCATTTAGACAGTGTGCAGGAGTTTGCTATCAACAGGTAATTAAAAACAAGAAATGATGCAATATTGGGTCTAGTTCTTTGATTTTGTTGTTGTGGGAACAAACAGGTTTATTGCTTGGTTTTTACTAGAATCCTATCCAAGTTAAAATTCTGGTATCATGACAACCTTGGAGGCGAAAACGTGCAGGTACAACAGCAGACAGAGATATGGAGAGGAGTGTGAAGATCAGAGGAGATCATCAGGTGGAGAGAGGGTGACACCTGTGAGCTCTGACAGGAGATCTGCGCATAACAGACACTCAGTGGTGCCAAGACAGACAGGTGCCAGCCCCCACCCCTCACCCCTCTTCCTCACAGACACAGATGCAGCAGGTGTTTTTATTTTATTTTACCCATGAGCAGGTTGAGCATTACTTCTTGTCCCGCGGCGCTGTCGCTCTTATACAGACAGTACCCGGTCCCGAGCAGCCACGGTATCCCGTGTCCCGACACCTCGATCAGCTTCATGAGGGGCCTCACGCTCCCCCACGACGAGTCCTCGCACGCACACACGCCCAGCCGCTTGGACATCCACAGGTCGATGGCGAGAAGCGAGCTGAGCGCCACCCGCAGGAAGGAAGGGTTCAGCCGGATACCGTCCTCCTCCGGAAGCCCCTGGCCGGAGCCCGTGGACGAGCTGGAGCCCCGGCGCCGAGTGGGGCTCTCTGAGGCCCGGAGGCGGGCGGTGGTGGGGTCGGAGCCCTGTCGCTGGAGCAGGAGCGGCGGCGGGGATGAGCGGTTCAGAGGCTTCGTCAGGGACATGAAGTCGTAGCGGCCGTTGGAGCCTCCGAGCACCGGGCTGCCTCCACTGCGGCCCGCCGGGCCCTTCGCTTTGGGAGACGGCATGATGACCGGGGGTGAACGTGGGGGATTACCAGGGAGGGGGGGGAGGGAGAAGTGGAGGAGGTGATGTAGTTTCTCTGCAGTGCTGTATCTCCTTCAGATCATCTGTTCTCACCATTCACATCACGTCCTAAAACACACAGGAAATCCGCCATCTTTGATGTTCTACCCGCAAAGACACTCGGGAAACTGTGTTTCTCAGTTCGCGGGGCCGGTTTCCATGACAACGCACTGCCTCGATAAAAATGTTTAATATACATACTTTTGAATTAAAATGTATAACTAAGAAAAATCAACTAATAATACAAAAACGATCAATATATTTGACTTGGGTTCTTATTGCATCGTCAAAGCAATGTTAAACCTTTTTTTTAAAGCGCTATACAAATAAAGTTATTATAATTATTATTACTTTTTAAGACTGTCTTAACAACTATTAGTCTAACCAGTAGGTTAGTAAATCAATAATAAATTAAAGCAATATAGCAATATTAATGTTTGGACTCAAAATTGCTTCATTGAATGTTGTTGTCTCTATAGTTTTAGAGCTTGGCTTTGCACACATTAATAGTTTAGCTATACATTGCTTTTTAACTAATTTGTAAGAAAGAAAAAAGTTAATAAAAATTGCATTTCTTTCATATTTCTGATAATATTAAAATAATTTAGGTTACTATAATCTTTACAATATAACACATTATATAAAAGTCGTACCTTGACGCCTCTTCATGACATGTGGCGTTATCACTAAGCCCCGCCTAGTTCACGTTGTCAGCTGAGATCGATCCAGTGTAGAGTTGACATGCCACTGGCTTCTATCAGGTGATATGAAGTAAGTACATACTCTTAGACTGTGGAGGGCAGCATTACACTCTACAGTGTACAGCCTGCCGGAAAACTACTAGACGAAGAAGAAGAAGAAGATAATTAGCAGCGCAGATTCTCTCTGTGGTTCTTCTGCTTTCTGACCGACACACGGAGCCAACATGCCGGGACTTCTGCTTGGAGACGAGTTCCCAAACTTCGAGGCCGACACCACTATCGGCCGGATCCACTTCCACGACTTCCTGGGCAGCTCGTGAGTGCGCAGCATCCAAAGAACCCTCGTGTCCCCGTAATATGTCAGACACCGTGTACCTGACATAATGTTAGTTTGTTTAGAGATGTGTTTGTATCACAGACAGCTGCAGGGAGAGGGGTCTGTTTCAGTAGACACCTCTGAAGTCAAAGATGCCCTTTTAACAGTTTAAAAGGTTTTAAAAATGCAGCAGCTGCTGATTCACACACACACAGGTACACAATGTGCCTCTGCTCGGTTAGACAATGAGCCGTAATAAATAAAGTTTATTATTGGAAAGTAATGTAGAGACAGATCATACAGAGAGGTGTCTTTATAATGTGGTTCAGCCAACAGAGCTGCAGCACACAGTGTGCATTTTGTGTTGTTTTGTCTGTTTAGTGAGTGTGAACCTGATCGGTGCAGTTTATGTAACAGCAGAAACAAAAGACACACACACACACACACACACACACACACACACACACACACACACACACACACACACACACACACACACACACACACACACACACACACACACACACACGTGTGTTCCGCTCCAGAACCTCCATTCAGACTTTTCCCATTCATCAGACCATGAAGAGTTTTGAAATAACTTTTAAAAACTTTTTTTTTTTTTTTTGCGCAAAATCAGAATAATTCTACAATTCACTTAGCAGACGCTTTTATCCAAAGCGACGTAACCACCTTTAGCCTATATGTGAGTAAATCCTGTTGATGAATCACATCTTTATGAAGGGATCTATGAAAGTTAACAAACCGGTAGAGCTTATACAGAGCATGAAACTGATGCGTTGCAAAAAAAGTTTGTAGTTGTTCTTTGGTTGTAATGCTGCCAGGATTAAAACTAAGAGTTGATTAAAGTAAAAGTCGAACTAGATATTGATACCTCGCCAGCAAAAAGTCCCATGCTGTCTAAATTAAGTCTTTGGAAACTGAAATGTTTTTGTACAGATGAGTCTGTGTGCAGGGGTTCTCTTGCCATGTTTGGACTCATCCCTCTACTTACCTGTCTTGACAAACAGATGTAGTCATTTTTAAGTTATAAAAAAAAACATGATCTATTCTATCTAAAATATGTGTCTAAATATTTAGAAAAGCACCAGTTTTTGATCTAATGTGACTGGTGGTTTCTGTGATGGGGGTCAGATGAACGTGTATGTGTTCTGGTCTGAAGCTTTACTGAGGTTTTAAAAGCTTTCTGAACAATCACAGGCTGCAAAATGTCTCATTTATCAGATACTATGTTGTTTTACTTAAACTATTATTATTATTTTTTATACTTCTTGTCTAGCTTAAACTCTACTCCAGCTTCTGAACTCGTTCCTCCCAGTAACAGTTTCAGAGTGTTTCCTGCAGGATTGAACTGGTCAGTCCCAGTTTCTACTGCATGTGATGACTGCTCATTACCACACACACACACACACCATGTGAGGAGGATAATCATGTGATAAAGTAAATGTGGATTTTACAAATTGTAAGAGTCCTGTGATGTCCAGTAGACACACAGCTCTTCTAAGTATGTGTGTTTCAGTCTGTATACTCAGTGTGTGTTTCTACAGTGTCTGTTTTCTCGATCATTCATGCTCTGGAATTTCCTCCTCAGAGACTTTCTGTTCTTTTCTCTCTGTTCTCTTCTGTTTCTCAGCTCTCTCTCTGCAGACTCTCCTCCTCCTAAACTTGTAACTCTGTATCTTAAAGTCCATTTTCTTATCTAATAATCTGAACTGTGTTAGGACAAACTATTTGGGGAAATTATATTAAAGTCTTTCAGTCCCCAAAAAACGTTTTTATCCAATTAAGGTTTTTTTTTTAATAATAAAATGGTATGCAAATATCATACAATAATTAATTTAATAGCTTAATACTAACATTAGTACGATGGAGGATTAGGGCCACGTTAAAAAAAAAAAATCAATTTTGAGATTAAAGTATTTAAAGAATTTAATCTCGTAAATTTACGAGTTTAATCTTGTAAATTAATGACAACGTAAATGATGAAAGTAGAACTCTTAAAGTCTTTAAAGAATAAAGTCGTTATTTTAGTCTATATCGAAGAGCAGCAGCATCCTGTTCTCAAATGACAAACATGCAGCATTTGTCCTAAAGGTTTCACTAATCAGGAAATAGACTGCTTCCTTGTGTAGTTGGTAAAAACAGTTAGTTCAAGAGAAGTTTTCACTTCAACTTGTAAGACCTTGTTTATCTGTAAAATGATGAACAGGACACAAACTGTCTCTGTACATGAGACACTTTAACAAGGCAGACTGATAACAGACACAAATAGTTGTGTTGGGGCTTTACTTATGCAGATATGAAACTACACATGCTTTTGGCTCATCATCATCATGTTCACATTGTCATAAAATATCAGCACCCTGAAAAGATACTGCAAGAAACTGTGGCCTCTCCGAAGAAAGAACCACACTGACTAGGAGGAAGTTGTCTGCAGAGGAAAATACTTTAAGAGTTCTACTTTCATCATTTTGCGCAGTCTGGTCTCGAACTCATTAATTTACAAGATTATTCTCGTAAATTTACGCCTTTAATCTCGTAAATTTACGACTTTAATCTCGGACATTTTAAAAAATAATTTTTTTTTTTAACATGGCCCTAATCCTCCGTCGTACATTAGAGCAAGCAGCATGCTCTGGTGTGGAAAAATTTAGCCAATGTGACAGTGCAACTTGAGGCTGACTGCAGTAAGTCCCATACATACCATATTAAAATGTGCACTGTTTTTTAATAATATTTTTTTGGGGCTCTTTGTGCTTTAATTGGAGGGACGGTGGATTTCATAAACAGACCAGTGACACATACTAGTTTAAAAAAAACTTGGTAAGGTGTATTTTGCATAATATGTGATCTTCAGGCTTCATTTTTCAACACTGGAGGTTGCCGCTTGGTTGAATGTATTTTTTATGGCCTCTGTACTCTTTTGATTATATCGATCATTACAATTACAGATTGTATCTGATAGTAAAGTATTGACGAATCAAACATTTGGACAACCTTAAACCACACATATTGTGATGTCCTTTCAATAACTGTGGTTGAAAACACGATCTGACCTCTGTGCATGATGACCTTCAGTCAGTGTTCTTGACCTCAACACTCTCGGGTGTGTCCAGTGTGTGCAGCCTGCTGAGGGACATTCAGCTCATCAGACTTTTACATAAAGGGTTTTCTTAAAGTGTAGAAATATGAACGTCACCTCCTGTGTGTCGCCCCCTGCAGGTGGGGGATCCTGTTCTCCCATCCGAGGGACTTCACCCCTGTCTGCACCACCGAGCTCGCCTGCGCTGCCCGAGTCAGCGACCAGTTCAAGAAACGAGGCGTGAAGATGATTGCCTTATCCATCGACAGCGTGGAGGACCACCACAACTGGAGCAAGGTCACACACACACACACACACACACACACACACACACAGATACACACAGGTATGTGTTTATTTATTGCCTGTGTTGTGTTAGAGGTGTACCGTATGTAAGGTCACTGTGGGCGGAGTCTGCAGGTTATTATTGCTCACCATTACAGTGTTTATGATGAGGAGATATATAGGTGGTCATGAGAGGTCAGTGTGATCACAGTTATTTTATGCATTTTTATTTTCATGCTGTGTTCTATTTTCCTACAGTTTTATTCAAACTATTGGGACAGTTTGTCAGACAGGCAGACTACTTTACACAATTCAAACCAAAATCCATCACTTGAAAAACAATCTGCATTATAGTCATGGTCCTCGATTTCAATGATACAGCTGCCGACAGCGCTTATATAATAAGAATAAATGATAATCAGTTTCGGTCGCTATCTGCACAGAATGTAACGTGCACCAATGTCACTTTCCAGTGTTTATCTGATGTGTCGCATCAGTTTAATGCTGGAGAGCTGGAGCTTTTTTATTGGTCATAAGTCACCTGTTGGACAACCTCTGGTCTGTTTTCATGATCAAACATGAGAGAAGCTGTGGTCAGTCGTCTGTGTGACAGATCAGAGAAAATTCAGTGGTTATTATTTACACTTAAATAAAAACAATAACAAGATGGAGGCAGATCCTGTGAATTGATTATAGATATACTCTGCA